TATATAAATTCAATACAGTAGGTATGGTGCAAAGAATGAATGCATAAAAACAAATGTATATAGTAAATTCCTATATAAAGTAAATTCTATAGTAATCCTATCCATTATAAGTATAAAATTCAAAAGAATAAATCAATGAATATAATAATAAAATAAAAGCACCTACAAGAAAAAGGTATTCTGAAATCCCTCTTGCTAGAGTAGCAAGCAGGGAATTCTTTAGGAAATCAGTGCTGCTAGCCGTAGTGGTCTGACGGTGAGCTACTAGAACAAGACAGTTCAGTAAGTGACCCGAAAGCAGAAAGCAGGGTAGTTCAAAAAATGCTGGCTTTTATGCAGTTTTTCTGTCCCTCCCCCAGAACACTGGGGTTGGAAGGGACCATATGGAAGGGTGACAGTCACTGGCCAGCTAGACAGTCAATAATAAGAGCACTTCTTCCCCCTCCCCCACCTTCCTCCCTCCTCCTACTCCCTCCCCTTACTTTACTTTCTCTTCCCCTGCAGGCAAGCCATTGAAGGCAAGTCCCAACTTCACAGTCAAAACTCAAAATGTTCCAAATTTTTCAAAACGTTTCGACGTGCCCTGTTTTGTTTCGACCCTGTTTTGAGCCTGCCTGTTTTGTTTTGACTTTGCTGTTTCAAGGTTGAAATCGGTCAAAACACCGTCAAAACAAAACAGGTGGTGAAATTTCGCACAGCCCTATTGCTGGCCACAAAACCTAGGGAGGGAGGGAGTCCGGAGGAAGGAAATTTTTCCCCAACAAGAAGCAGGGTACTAAGACGCCCCACTCTGTGTGTTTCTTGGGCAATCTCCCTCCCTTACATATTGTAATTTTTTAATTGTTGCTGGCCACAAAACAGGAGAGAGGGGATTTTTCCCCACCAAGAAGCAGGCTGCTAAGAGGCCCCAGCCATAGGGCAACAGGGACCGAGGGAGGGAGGGATGGAATCCCCCTTCCTGGTTACTGGCCATGTCCCAGCTAGGGATGGAGGGAGGGAAGTTTTTCCCCAGCCATATCAGGGTGCTAAGAGGGCCTAATCATGGGGCAACAGGGACCTAGGGAGGAGGGAATTTTTCCCCAGCAAGAAGCAGGGTGTTAAGAGGCCTCAGCCATGGGGCTCATTACACATGAGTACCTAGTGTCCTATGGGTGGAAGGGTTAAGTATACCACATGTTCACTGACCATGGGGCGGGACAGCGGGTGTGCAAATGAGGAGTGAATGAATGCCCTGGAGGAGTCCGGTTTAGGAATGTGGCCGGGAGGAGAGCGGGGGCATATTCCACCCCAAGCCCAAAAACAACCCACCATTTCAAAAACATTTCACAAAACCCTTCCAAAAGCTGCATGTGGCTCTAAACAAACAAATTCATGGTGGAACATGGTCAGGGAAGGGAAGCAGGGGAAGCGGACCCATTGAGGCATCCCCATGAAAACTGTTCCAAGCCCTGGCAGCCTGGGAATGCTGGGAAATGTAGTCCTAAAAAGGCAGAAAAGTAAGAGCTCGCCACCACCTCGCCACCCACCACCATCAGCTGCAATTGCCCACCACCCAGGATGGCAACACCCACCCACTACTCTCAATCCCATACATTTCAGAAATCATATCAGTTATATGGTTAAAAAAAAATCATATATATACATTCTCATAACATGGGGGGAAGGGAAAGGAATGGGAGAGAATGATTCACATGACTTGTTGTTGGGATCACCATGGGGTCACCTACTGGGAGACCGGCTCAAGCCTAGGTGGGTGCAAGTGGCAGGGTTTTGGGGTGCCTGTGCCCAGGCATGAGGGCAGGGCATGGGGAGGGGACTTAGCAGGAGACTTCTGGTGGGGGCAGGGAGCAGGGACTGTGCCTCCTGCTGAAATTCATTAGGAAAGACATTACTGGGGATAGATTGGTATTTGCCTCCCCCGATGAAATCTGGGGGAATGATACACAGGACTTAACTCGCTCAAAAGAGGGTGACATGAAAACACAAACATGATGCACCACAATAACCCAGGTTAAAATTTTTAAGGCATGGTAAATTAACGAGGATCAAACACTGTGGTGTGTACAAACACCCGCTATATACTAGACTAGGACATTGTTTCAGCAGTTGGCCCACATATTGCAACCTCTTTCTGCTAGTCACTGCCTCCTTAGGAGTTTGCCCACTCAAATACAACCAGCCCTGATGAAGCTTAATGCAGGATAACAGGTAGGATCATAGCCTGACATGGTATATTGGTAGCAAGCAGGAGGGTCTGAATGGAGCTTTGATTCTGGATGTTAGGTATGTTAAAACTCTTGAACTTAAAGATCTAATTTACAATTTTGGAGGTCATTTCAAGTTGGATAAGACCTACTGGATGCACCTATGTGTGCAATTAATTCAAAGCAATAAACTCCAGAGCAGTTTGAGCCAGAATAAACTACTCCTGGGTGCGGTATCTACATGTGTACCTGGGATGGCAGCAATTTGAACAAGGGCAGAACAGTTTACACAAGGCCCACTCCTACCCTAGTGTCAGGGGGCACAGGGGAATCAGCTCTTGGCTCCAAGTGGTGGGATTGGGTGGTAGACAGGCTGGCTGGAACATTAGGATGCTGCACATGCAGAGCTTTGTGGCTAGGCAGCAGGCAGGAATTTTCCCCCCTCCTGGCTGAGGGCTTACCAGGTACAAGTTATGCCCACAGTTAGTGTGTGTGTGTGTATATGCTAACTGTATATACATATATTTATATAAACTCTCTCTCTCTCTCTCTCTCACACACACACACGTATATGCATGTGTGTGTGTGAGTTTAATTGCACTTAATTACCCCTCCATAAGATAGTCTGTCCCCAATAGCGCTACCTTACTGCAGCATTAATTAGTTTACTGCAGCTTAATAGCGTTGCATGTGTAGACAGTGATGCTTTACTCTGCAGCTAATTAGTCTAGTCTGCAGTTAAGCACATGTGTACGTTCAGCCACTATGTTGTGCTTTGAAGAGACTGGTCAGCTTTAGGAGCTATATGGAGCTATACCACCTGAGAGGAGCCTGTGACTGTTTTTCTGGAGGAAGCATGAAAAGAGAATGTACCTTGGGTACCATCCCCTAGAACTGTGGTGTTTTCAACCTTTTTTCATTTGCAGACCCCTAAAAAATTTCAAATGGAGTTGTGGACCCTTTTTGAAACTTCAAACAGAGGTGCAGACCTTTTTGAATTATAAGTGTGGGTATTCACATACTTTTAATTGATCAGAGTCATTTTTAGCAGACCCCTTTGGCCTAGTCTGCAGCCCCTCAGGGGCTGTGGACCACAGGTTGAAAAACAGTGCCCTTGAAAGATGTTAGGTACTCCCCCATTCAAGCCCATAACTCTAACTCATTCAGACAATTTGGAACAGTGAAAAAGGAGGGGACAGGGGTTTCTGTATACATTCTAGCATGGGTGACTGGTGCCTCCTGAGTCTGGGGGGGGCACCAGACTGCCTACAGGAGTTGGGGAGGTGTCCCCCAGCCACTGATTGCTGAACAGGGGTTTCCTCCAGCACCGATCACTGAGCCAGCAGTGAAACCGGAAGTGCAGGGTTTCACAGCTGGAGCTTCCAGGGGGTGCAGGGCTGATCTCAGGAGGTGCACGTGCACCTGCATGCACCCCCTACACATCACCAATGCATTCTAGAAATTAGAAAAGATTCAGGAAGACTTTTTTCTTTGAATAAGTGCATGGTTTAAGTTAGCCCATCTCTGCCCTTGGGACATTTTTCACTTTTGCAAAACTAAAAGGTTTAGTTTAGTTGAGTAGAGGGCGTTCATGTGTGCATGAATGAATTAATCCCTGGGAAGCAGCAAGGCTGAATGGCTTGAGTTTGGGGCTTCACTGAGAAGAGCAAATTACTTACCCTGAGTTTCTCTGTCAAATGGCCTGTTAATTACAACTTCCTTGGACACCAGCAAGGGTCATTTAAGTGTCAAATTCTATGTAAATGCTAGAACTGGGTAAACTACTTTCACTGAACAACTTGCTGCATTTTTCCATTGAGGCATAGCCTCCCAAGAAATCAACATTTTTTCATTTGGCTTAGCAGTATCTTCAAATTGTAGTAAAGCACAGACCAGAGAGACATAACTGAGTATCAGTGGTCTGAGATGTATTCAGCAGTGGTGGCTTAAGTTAAATATTTGAAAAGGAGAATGCAAAAATATTCTACTGTGCTGTAGGAGCTGGTAGGTATCAGCTACTAAGTGGTGCTTGCTAGCTAAATCTGTTTTGGGCTCCGGTCACAACATGGTGACAGAGTCAAGCTGAGCTATAAGACCATGACCAGCTACAGTTATCAGAGACAGTGGTTGTTAGAATCCTTAATCCTGGTGTACTTACTGTACTCTAAGTTCAGTCATTTCATGTTGCCCCTACTTTTCTGGCAAAGAGTACCATTAGCACTTTGAATATGACATTTTCTTCTTGTCCCTTGTGAACATTCAGTTGCAATGTTTGTGTGCCACCTAACCTGGAGTCTTCTGACATCCATTTCAAGTCATCTGTGTCTCAATACCACCTACACAGCATTGTGCTGTATTAGCTTCTGAAATCCCTCTTCCTAAGGCTTATCTCCCATGGGGGTAAGCAGGGATGTGATAATGGTCATAAAAGCATAGAGAAGTAGGGCTGGAAGGGACCACTAGAAGTAATCTTCCAGTTCAACCCCCTGCCTGGGGCAGGATTGTCCCTATCCAAACCACCCCATACAATCCATAATCAAAACTCTATATATTACTGCTGCCAATGGAGTATTGTTTGATTTGTAATTGTCACAGAGCACTAAGGTGCCCTGCTCCTAAAGAGGGGAACCTGCTAGGGGAAGAGCCCTAGCATGAGTCAGGAGCCCAGCTGTTGGTCACCAGGGCAACTAGAGTAGTTAGTGACCCACACCTGCCAGCTGTCAGCTGACTGAAGGGGGGCAGGGCCTGGCACATATAAACCCTATGGCTGAAGCCAGGTGGGCAGTTCCCTGCTAGCAGCCAAGGGGAAAGGAGCTTTTCCAGAAAAGATAATAGAGGAGAGGCCTGAATGTAGGAGCAGCTTCTGATACTGCAGAGGATTGGAGTATTCCCTGGTAGGCTTGAATGATATTTTAGCTGGGCAGCTTGAATTTATGTTACAGCCCAGGGGCTTGTGTTTTGTTGCTGTTTAAAGACTGGTGGTTTGGGTGAGGCTATTAGGGGAAGGGGGAGGCCTCATAGGGGACCCACAGCAGGGTGGGGACCCCAGCACCAGCGAGGGGGCAGCATTTGGGGTGCACTGACCCCAGTGCTACAGAGGGGGTGGTGATAGAAGCCCCAGAGAGGGGGCATGTAATAGTAAGAGCTTTGCTAATGCTAATAGGAAGAGTCTTGCATGCTAATTCTATAGTAGGCTAGTGAAATGGTATGTAGCTTTTTGCTCTGTGAGCGTGACTGAGCAATGAACTTGAATAGTAGAATGTTGTAATACAGTAGAATGTAATAAACACTAGGTGTGTTGGATCACGACTCATCCCCAAATTCCTAACTTGAGATAACAACATTATTTACTCCAGACTATATAAGCTGTACATTCTTAAGTTACGATAGGTTCCGCCGCTCTAGCAAGAGTCCTGATTTGCACGGAGCCCCAGCACAGGCTATCGCATCCCCAGGATCAGGACACTCCAGGGCCAGGAGAACCATGCGAGGTGGTGACTGCCACCTAAAGCCAATGTGACGTGACCGTCCTCTCTGCTCTGCTCTATCTCCTGCCTGTGCGAGTATCCTTAAATAAAGCTTTGCAAGGGTGGAAACAACCATGAGTACGTCCTTTGTTCAGGCACAGAAAATCTTCTGAACCTAGTAGTTCATTCTAAGACAACTGGTGTCAGTAGTGGGATTTCCCTATGTTTAGCATAGACCTATTTAAGAGGCTGCAGAAGGGGAAGGGAGAGAGATCCGGGGGGGGGGGGGGGGGAAGATGCCAGCTTAGCCCAATACTGAGTTGTAGTATAGAGTAGCAAAGGCACTCTATAAACTGAGTCCAGTTCTTTTATTAGAGTAAAGAAGAGTGCCCTGTAACTCCTGCCAAAGTGCAACAGTGAGTTGAGAGAGAGCTTAAGTCTGAGGGGGAGAGTGGTGCTAGAGGCACCATCCCTTGGCTGCTCCTTAGGGTGCTTGAACATCTGAGCACACAAAATACCTGTCTGCAGGAACAGCTTGATCAGGCTGTCCATTGGCAGACGCATCTGAATTTAAATGAAACAATATTGCATGGGTTATGTTCTAAACAACTTGATTCTGCCTCCCCTAACTGTTCCTCCTCCCTGCTGGAGCTAGTCTCCCAGACATCTAAGCCAGAGGCAGCTCCAGTGATGACAGAGATACCTTTACAAGATGCTAAGAAAATCACAGGTCAGTAGATAGATCCAGAAGAGTGAGAGATATGTAGAGTGATGAAGTTGAACATGCTAAGAGTTTAGAAATTGAAGAGTGCCAATTTGCATGACCAGTACGTTATGATTGTACCACCCACAGACCTGCAAGAGTCAGTAGATCCCAAGAAATCGGGAAGTACACAGCAGTGGAATTGGGTACTTTGGCAGAGAAATTTTGACAAGGGCCGAAAGAGAGACTGAAAACATAGATAGATATTAAGAGTACTTGACAAAAGTATTGCACATGTAAGTGTCACTGTAGCTGAACTGAAGGGGTTTAAAAAATCTGACAAGAGACGCCTTATACAATACTACAATGTGTACTGCACAAACCCCAGTGGGCACCCATGCTCTGCTATTAGATTAGTGTATAAAATGCTAGATAGACAGGTAGCCAGAGAGGGGAGATCATGATGACCCAGAGCCACAGTCTTGGTGGACCATGGAGGAGGGACTAGAGATTTTGCGCGAAGAAGCAATGCAAAATTAGATGTAGAGAATGGTCCAGAGAATATTCCTTTTACATCTCAAATTAGCAATTTGTTAATCAATACTGCTTCTTCCCATCTGCGTACCCATGTATCCCTCCTATTGGCGGAACGACAGAGGAAAATGGTCGGAGACATAGCTGCTAAATTGTTAGAGAATACTCTTTGGGTAGAAGCTAGAAGTTCACAAATGTGAGCAGTTCAGAAGCGAACAGACAGAGCAAAGAGAGAATAAAAAAACTGTTAACTCAACAAGATTTATAAGTCTAGCTCATAAGCCACAGGGTGCCCAAAAAAGAAATTGATAGGCAACCCACAAAAGTTTTAGTGCAGAAGTATCAGCTTTTAAGTAGACAAAGCTTCAGAAAGAGTCCAACCCTCAGCCCCCCCACTATACCCTGACTTGAAGCAGTTTTGTACTCCCCAGCCACAATGACATGATGGCCAAAGTCCCTCCTGCCGGAGTGTAAGCCTCCCCCAGCAGGAGGACCAGAAGCCATATGTCCGAGTGACAGTAGAATAGCCGACTAGAAGAGTTCAAACTTTTATAAGACTATTAAATACTAGCTCTGAAATTACCATTATACCAGGAGACCTGGCTAATTTGAAAAGAGAAAAGATGCCTTTGGGAAGATATGAGAGTGCGTCCGTGACCAAGTGTCTAGTGACCGTGTATATTATTGTGAGACCCACTAAATGCAGATTAATGTGGATACTGATATTGCCTATCCCTAAATGTATTGTAAAGATTAATGTTCTTAAAGAATGAAAAAATATCTGAATAGGCACCCTGAAAATGTCAGATGCTTGTTAGTGAGTCAGGCTAAGTGAGAACCCCTAGAACTACTGATTTCCACCACCAAATTGTTAACCTTAAGCAGTATCAAATCCTGAGTGAGAAAGAAGACATTACCAAGACGATCAAAGACTTGCAGGAGGCGGGTGTGCTAGTGCCCGTTAGCTCTCCGTTCAATTCTCCCATCTGGCCAGTTCACAAACCTGATGAGTCGTAGAAACTGACGGTAAATTATCGAGAACTTAACTAAGTAGTAGACCCAATTTCAGCTGTGGTACCAGATATAGTTTCTCTGCTAGAAGATATTGGTGCCACCTCCAGTGAATAGTATGCTGTGATTGACTTGGCTAATGACTTTTACTCTATCCCTCTGTATGCAGATCACCAAGCCCAGTTTGCCTTTACTTGAGAGAGACAGCAATACACTTTCACCGTGCTTCTACAAGAGTGTTTAAGCTCCCCTGCTTATTTTCACAACATAGTCAAACGTAACTTAAGTGAAATTTCTTTGCCTGAAGGAGTATTAGCCAAACATTATATTGACAATATAATGCTAAAAGGCAACACCTTAAATCGTGTGGCAGAAGCTCTAGAATGTGTAGTGAAACATATGTGGGAGTGGGAGATATTTCCACAGGAAACTTAAAGTCCAGCCCAAAACGTAAAATTTCTGAGAGTTCAGTAGTCAAAACCTACTAGAAATATTCCACAGAAAATAAAAGATAAACTACTTTCTCTCCCCGACCCTACTACTTAAAAAAAAAAAAAAAAAAAGCACAAAGACTGATCAGCCTTTTTAAATTCTAGCACACCCACATACCTCACCTTGAAATATTGATGCAGCCCCTGTATAAAGTAACAGGTAAAGCTGCTGCTTTTGAATAGAGAAAAGAACAAGACCAAGCCTTCAATGATGTAAAAGCAGCTATACAGATTGCCCTGCCCCTGAGCCCTTACTCGTCGTCTGACCCTATTACGTCAAAGGTGTCAGTATATCAAAATCATGTATCATAGAGTTTGTAGCAGACTCCCATAAAAACGCATCAAAAGCTCCCATTAAGCTTTTAAACTCAAAAATTACCTGACGCAGCCAGTAACTACACCCTTTTTAAACAGCAGTTGCTAGCATGCTATTGAGCGTTAGTCAATACAGAACGAATAACTAAGAGACATACAATTTGTATTAGACCAAAAATTCCCATAATGCAGCGAGTCATGCAAAACTCCATCTCCAACAAAATAGAAAGAGCCCGAGTCTTCCATTATCAAATAAAAGTAGTACATACAAGAGAGTGCAAAGCCCAGCCCTCATAGCGTAAGCAAACTTCATAAAAAAAAAATAACTACCCTGCCAGCGCCACTAGAAAGTAAACCAGATTTGGTACCTGTTGTGACCTTGCTCCCCCCCCCCCCCCCTTTGCCTCATAGGCCCCTCGCTATGACAATCTGCTACCTGACCAAAAAAAAGCTTCCTAGTTTACAGACAGCTCAGTGCAATACAAGGGTCCTACTCGCATGTAAACTGCAGCTGCCATTAACCCTGTAACTATTCACCAACTCAAAGATACTGAGATGAAAGCCTCCTCCCAATGGGCTGAGTTAAAAGCTCTTATGCTAGTAGTAGGTTATGAGACTGAATAGCAAAGTTGAGCAGTTTAGATCTATACTGATTCCTAAGCAGTAGCAAATAGTTTAGCAGTATAGTCTAGCACCTAGAAAGGCTCGAGCTAAAAAAATCAGAAAAATAGACTTACAGAGCCAAGACCTGTAAAAACAACTAGCCGTAAAATCTGAAGTGATAGAAATTCATGTTAGTCATGTAGATGCCCACCAACCCATCAACACTGAGAATCCTGAACATAAATAGAACAACCATGCTGATGCTTTGACCCAGCTAGTGCTAGTGTCAGACTGATGCTTTAGCCGACTAAAAACACCAGCAATCAAGACATGCAAGAAGAGACTCTGCCTATGCCTGAGCAGTTGCATTTGACTTGCCAATAATGCAGAGTGAAACTGCATCAGCAGCAGTGCAGTGTCCACGATGTCAATTAGCACAGAAGCCCTTGAACAAAAGGCTAGGCCATATCCCCATAGAGCACAAACCAGCTGAGAAATGGCAAGTTAACTATATTGAGCCACTGCCAGCAATAAATCGTTATCGCTATGCTTTGACAGCCATTAACACTTTCTCCAGCTATAAAATTGCTGTACCAGTCCAGAAAGCAGGTCTCATCCACCATCTGTGTATTAGAAGCACATCTTGTCCATATTCACAGTGTACCCCATGAGATTTCCTCCAATCAAAGTACTCACTTCACTGCATTGCTTACCCAACAATAAGCAGCTAAACTTAGCATTACTTAAACATTTCATGTGCCATACCACCCGCAGGCAGCAAGCCTCATTGAGCGATAAAATAGTCAACTGAAGCAATTACTAACCAAAACATTGAACCCGACCCTCCAGAAGTAGCCCTCTCAACTGCCTAAAACAGTAGCTACCCTTAATAATAGAGAACTTGTCAGAAGACAATCCACTATAAATAAGATGTATAAATGTGAGAAGAAAGGGGTGGAGGAAGGAGCATTGGGAGAGACAATGCTCCCATTAACCATAAAACCAATACAGAACCATAACCTTTTTTTCTTCCCACCCCGATAACTGTTGGATCAGTGGGTATGGATTTAGCAGCACCTGAAGCAGGTACATTGGATGTGGGACAGACGGCAGTAGTACCTTTGAATTAGTCTGTAGATTTACCTCCTGGCTGGTTTGAGCAAATACAATCTCAGTTGGGGCTTGCGACTCGAGGGGTGGTGACCGAGAGAAGTGTGATTGACCCAGACTACCGGGGGGAGGTGAGAAAAGGTGACCAAGAGGGCATAAAAGGCAGACTCCCAAATATATATTTTATCATCAAAGATGTGGCGGGCAAGAGTTACCTGAGAAAAGGGGGATCGAATAGCCCAACTATTGCATCTACCTGATCCCCTTGTGTCTGTTAATGGACAGATATCAAGTTCTTCAAAGGTGTGGCATCAGGATAGCTCTGAGTCTATGGGGCAATGGGTATAGGTAACCCAACCTGGGAAGGATCCTATACCCACTGAACTCATAGCTGAAGGAGAAGGTGATACTGATTAGATAGCACCTAGGGGTAGAAATGAGTACCATTTGAGACCTAGAGACCAATTGAAAGCAAGAAGTTTATAACCCTTAGCACTCAATCCAGATGACAGCCCATTAATACATTGAAGACGCTGTTGAGTGAACTGCTTGGCTAGTAGCCACCTTCTCCGAACTGACAACATTAATCAGACTAGTACACGCTAGACAGCAGAGCGTCTTTGAAAAAAATCCAGTTTTTGCTATGCATCACTTTAACTTTGTCATGTACTGTTTTGTGTGTTTGTCTTGCTTGTATCTCTGTAGAGACACAGTCATTGCGGCTGCCTCCCAGTACCATGAAGGATGAGTAAGTGCAACTCTAAACCACATTTCCAGCAATTATACATGCCCCCCTGATTTGCGGTCCTGTCTTTTTTTAAATTGAAGTGTTGCTAGCACCTCATGTAAAGTAGGACCATCACCTGGGAAAGGGTAGGGGACTTTGTATTGTAATGAGACGGTTACAGTAAACTTTTCCTTTGCTTTTGGGCTCCCCTCCCCCTGTTAAATGTACCACAATCAAGCAAATATAGCTGACAAACAGAGAGGTTCA